TTTTTTTAATCTGTTTCAGATTCTCTGTAGAGCACATTTTAACACAAATTTGGAAAGGCTCTGAATAAAGACAGACTGCTATTATAAAGGTAATTACAAGTGGGGGAGACTCACATCGTCTTTGCAGATCTCGCTGATGAAGTGTTGGGCTTCGTTCATGGCTCCTGGTGTTGGAGCGAACACGGAAAAAGTCTCTTCGTCTACCTGACTTATCGTCACACCTAAAGGCAACGAAGAAAATGTGGTGATGTTTTTATATTCTGCACAACAGTTTCTATTATGAAAAAGAAATCTGTGTGCTGGTGGATTAGCATCACGTCACCATCACATTCCAAGTTGCCTTTTTCAGACTTTATTACTTATACATTACCTGTTTGAGCTTGAAGCCTGCGGAGGTTGTAGCCTCCAGGGCCAACAAAGCGAGCTCGCCTTGAGACAGGTACCCGGACATTTTCTGAAGACAGAAAACGTCACATATTGGAACAGATGACAGTAAAAACTGTCTATTAAATATTGCATCTTTCTATATATATATAATATTCAGACATAACCTACCTACAACAGGTCCATTCTCTTTCCTGCTCTCTCTGGGTTTTGCTATGCATTTGTTCATAATGCCCAAGATTTCCCTCTTTGCCACTGAAACACAACAACAGGCAAATGCCGAAAAAGAGCCATGCAAATAAAATTTTAATAAAGAGTATATTTCTCAGTTTTGGGGCTACCTGTGGCCTGTTGGATTGCCTCCATGACCACCTTCAGTGGCAACCCAGGAATCTTCACATCAGCCTGGAGGTAAAATAAAGAAAATTTAGTTAATACATTTCATCTTTATCAGAAAGGCCATTTATGTTTTGCTTGCGTCCACCACACAGTCCTTTAAGAAGAACAACACTTTCACTAAGAAGAATCCTGCTTAACTTGCCATTACAGAGACAAACTAGTGTTGTCTTATAATAAAAAGATAATAAAATAAAGCTCTAACACTATACTGGTCTCTTCTTTAACATTTTACACATCGAGTACAGTTCATATTAAAACATTTCTATGAAAAAGTGACGTCCCTTCAGCTAGCTTTATGAAATTTTACTTCTAAAAGATCTTTCTTAGACACTTATTACAAGTTACTCAATGCAGTACCTGTAAAGCAGTGATACCCTTGTTTGTTCCTGCCAGTTTGAAGTCCATATCTCCCAGGTAATCCTCTATTCCCTGTTTACGAAACAGTTAAGAGCTCATATTCAACACCTGTCATACCCAGGAACAACTGCAATAACATTTTGAGCATTCAACTACAATCTTTCTTCCACTTGTTAGTGATAATAACTGATCACAAACTGGACTTACCAGAATGTCTGTTAATAGTCTGTAGTCTTCTATCTCAGCAGGTTTTTCTGGGTTAGCCTTGGAGATGAGACCGATGGCTACACCTGCCACAGCAGAAGAGATGGGCACACCTGGCAACACAGATTTAGATATATTAGTTAAACATTATTATATGACATATTATCTGACTAGCATCGTATCCAGCGATGTTGATGTTTGCTGTCTGCACGTCTAAGGTCCAGAGAGCAATTTAAAATTGGATTTTTCCTGGATTAACTAAAAAGTCAGAACAGTACCTGCATCCATAAGAGCGAGGCTGCCCCCACACGCTGAAGCCATAGAGGAGGATCCTGAGAGGACATGCAGAGATGGAAATATGTTGAAAAATAAGAGCAATGGACACATTCGTATTTGGGACTTTTTATATTACGACTTATAAAATTGCTTCCCCACACTCACCATTTGACTCTAACACCTCAGCAGTGACCCTGATGGTGAACGGGAAGTCTTTAGGAATGACTGGTCTCAGAGCCTTCTCGGCCAGAGCTCCTGCAAAAACACGAACAATGCACAAAAGATTCTTGATGGAAATGAGGGATTATTAGACTGAATACAAACAGAGGATGAAAAAAGTCAAACAAACCATGTCCGAGCTCTCGCCTGTTGAGGCCTCCCATCTTTCCAGTCTCATTGGTTGCATATGGGGGGAACTAAAAGAAAGGAAAGTTGACTTTACAGCTCCATTTGAAAACTAAAACAATTATATTTAATATCTGATAAACTATGTGACTTAAAAAATGATTTTACTTACTTCATAATGAAGCATAAAGTTTTTGTCTTTGATGCCACTGCAAAAAGAAATGCATGCATCACAGGAGTGCAGATGTTGGTAGACGCTGGTAGTATCTCCACAATTAATAACTAGCTTTTGAAATACATTCCTTGAAACTTCCTGAACAATGATCCTTTTCAATACTACATTAACATACTGCATATATCTGTATATATATAAAGTATATGAGGTGATACCGTTTTTTTAAACCATGATAAACAGTATCAGCATGAGCAACAAATATCCAGTTATGGTCATGCTCCCGTCTGAGCATCCATGTAAGGAAATTCCAAAAAGTTGATTCTGTTCATCTAGATGTAGCGTTTTCAGCGAGAGAAATGTTTAGTCACTCATCAAATTGACTTCTTCAGTCTCAGGATCTAAGGAGAAACCTGCAGGGGTCTGCAAGTGACTGAAGAAGTCACTTGGATGAGTAACAAAATTTTCTCTCCCGCTGAAAATGCTACTTCCAGATGAACAGAATCAACTTTTTGGGATATGTGTTCTGGTTGTTTTACCTTAAAGCTGTAGTGATAATATCTGTTTTGATGCTGGACTCCAGGGAATCAAATGTGACACTGCACAGCACCTACAGGGAGCAGAGGAGGACTTTGTTACA